TAGGCTGCAATCAATTTAAGATCAAATGCTTAGATATACATGATTATTTCCCTGTTCTGTGGTTATATCTGTCTGTGTTCATTTATATGATTGTTAGTTTAATATTTATTTAATATTCAACAGTTTGGTTCTCCATAATCGAAAGCTAATGTTTGCCTGAGAAAATGATCTTGTTCTGATACACTAGAGGCTGGTTCATCCTAACTGATCAAACATGCAGCAATGTAGAATTGAGTTTGATTTGGTGTGAATGTTGGATTTATACCAGGTGCAAACAAGTGCATAGTTATTCTGTTCCCTAGTCAGTTAGACTGTAGTCTGTGTAGTGTTAATATAGCTGCTGGCCCATTTCATACTAAATATGTCTAATGCTTCGATGCATTTCAGTCATATAAACATGCTTTAGACATCTTCCATCTGTGATTCTGGATTCAGATTTCTACAGTAGTCAGTCCTTTAATTGTAACGCAACAGTAAAACATTTATATCACTTAAGGAATCTCCATCAAAGACCTGAACATGCACGTTTCACTGTGATTGACCATAGATTAGTACAAATCTCTGTGTTGATGTTTCAAAAAGTCTCACTTCGTACATGTACTTTACCTCGTCCTCTGGTGCTCTCCCATAGCAACACATACTGTATCCTTGGTGACCATTTTGAGTGACATCATTCTCAGTGATTGTACAAAGTATTATCTCTGCGCCAAATCACCAATAAGGCATTCAGTCACCCAGGGCATCCTGTTGGTTTCTATAGTGTTCGTTGCACTAGCTCCACAGCCTCCCATCAGTCACTAACTTGTAGTTCCAGCAGGACCACCCTACCTGAGACTGGAGGGGTTTCTCTCAGGGGTCCGGAGTGGCTTCAGCTGACGGGAGGTCAGGGCTGGTTCCTGTAGCACACCACTGTGTCAGTCAGCTTTAGCCACAGAGGACTCCCCCAGTTGCTGCTCCAGACTCACCACAGCTTACATGTTGTCCTCTCATTCAGTGTTTGTGGACATGCTGATCTGGGATCAGCGCACAAGGGTACCCTCAGTCTTTTGCCTTAAATCGACTGAACAAGGGAAAGAGTCCTCTGACCTGTGCACTACATGTCTACGGTGACAAGAGTTTTGAAAACCAGTTAGTATTTTTTGTAATTATTGTTAGGAATGTAGACTTCAAGGCTGGAGGTATTGTATCTATCGTTTGTCTATTTCTGTGAATATTTTGTGATAAAACAATGATACTGTAATGTAAATTTAAGATTAACTGTACTAATCTGAGTATTACTTTATCTGTACAGAATATTTCAACTCTGACATAATTGACTGAATAAGCCTCAAGGGTTTTCTGAAATTTTAATTTTTAAAACCAGATTAATTCTGTGAAGATGGAAAATTAATCCTGTGGCGTCCACAATTTGGCTGCAGATTCCTCTTTTATATTTCCATAAACTGTCTTAACTCACTGAAAATCATTTTAATAGAGTTATGCTTTCTGCACGTTAGTAACTGTGGCTCAGTTATCATTTCCTCTGATGTGAAAAATGAAGTGGAAAAGACATTCATTCATAATAGATTACCCCTCCATGCTGGTAGAGTGTGATGATATGAGCTCTTCAAGCGAAATGATGCTAATGATTTGATGATGAGATGATTGATGCTTTTTTTTTAGGGTTAGGGGTTTACGGTTTTAATGCATTTTTGGTTTGTGGTTGTCATGGGCACACTTTGATGCTCAATCACTAAATCTCTTGTCTGAAACATTACACTAAAAGAAATAATTTAGCATTTTTAGGAAATATGTTTGAGATTTATTTCATGAAAAGATTGACACCTCTGTTATTTTTGATCCTACAACCAGCCGCTGGTTATCTTAGCTTAGCATAAAGAGTGGAAACAGGAGGAAACAGCTACCCTGGTACTGTCTGAATTTAAATAATCTACCCACCAGCATCTCTAAAGCTCACAAACACGTTATATTTCCACAGATGACACTTTGTGTTTTGAGCTCACTGAGAATCTTGGCCTTTTGTCATTAAGGAGTTGAGAAAAACTTTTAAATTAGTAATGTCTTAGATTTGATTTAGCAGCAGAAAGTGTCAAAGTGCATTGGAGCAGAGGGCCTTCGTACCACTCACTGGAAGTCTCCCACTTTGTGTTTTGAACAAAGATGACATGTTCATTTGTCAGATTTAGAGCTGCATACAGCTGGACTGAACCAGATTAGGTTCAGGTTGCTAGGCTAAGTAGCTGCTTCCTTTTCTGTTTGTTAAATAATCATGAGCGTTGTATGAATCCTCTCATGTAACATTTAGCAAAAAAGACAAACAAGCTTATTTCCCAAAATGTTAAACATTTCCTTTATTTTTACTTTACCGCTCCTCTGTCGCTTTCTTTACAAGCTATCGAGGTTGTGCACACTTTAAATCATATCAAGCGAGATGTTTTATTTTTGCTATCTTGAAAAATCATCATTGTGCAGTTCATTCTGTATCATCGCGCACAGTCATGACATCTTATCACTGCTGAGTGGTGCAGAGGAAACTGTAAAAATCGAGAGTTGTTTTGGGATTTTCCTTTTTCTTCTGCGATCGATATGAAGCTCACTAGAGATTTACTTTAATATATTGTGTTTGAGATGATTTTATACTTGAGAATACATATTATATTTTGAATGATAATGGAGAGCTCATCATACGTTTTAATCAATATATTTTGAAATAACTTGACCTCAGTGCGTGATGGTGACTCGCCTGTTGAAGTTGCCCCACTGAGGCCTGTACAGTATCGGACAGCTGTAGCAATAATGCAGTGAGGTGTAGATATGGTAGTTGCTTCAGACAGTTGTCTCCCTCATGCAGAATGGGGAAAAACAACCAAAGTGTAAATGGAGGGTGTTCTGTAAACTAAAAAAAGCTCTTCATCTGCCTTCCCTATCTCAGAGGGATCTAATGTAAACACCCTCTCAATGTTTTTCACATTTCATCTCACCCGACTCTTAATTCACTTTGGTGTGATTTTTTTTTCTAGCTTTAATTCTTATGCTTTAATTTTCTGCCATGTTTTCTATCTTCTCATGGGTGCCATTTTTCTTATGTTTCATACTGTTTGTTTGCATAATGAGTTTGATTTGTGTGCACATGCGGCACACACGTCCTTCTCATTCATGCTCCGTTCAAGGCAGAGGTTCACTGATGAAGACAAGGGAGATGTTCCTCACAGCGTCTAAACTGAACCATGTTTCTTCTCAGACTGTGACTCACGGCTTTGTGGTGAGACAGGGGTTGAAAAAAACTATATGAAAGTTATGAAACGCATCACAACAGCAGCCTGGCACAGGAGGTCAAAGGTGACTGACCTGCCTTGATTACTACTCATTATCTCCAAATACACTATGGTGTATTCAGGTGAAACTACAGATTCAACTGAGGTACTTCCCTTTTTTTTTAATTGTGCATTTTCTCCCTTAATTTATACTTGTAACATCGTCTTTAAACAGCAAAGACAATAATGGAAAATGAAGATAATAAAGTTGTTATTGTTGACACTGAATATCTGTCTGCTTTGTTTTCTTTCAGTGGAAGTGTGAAGATGGGATCAATGTATTTGGTGTATGTGAGATTTTATATTACAAAAAGCTTGCATACATTTGTTGAAGGAGCTGTCACAGGTTTAAAATGACTCTCGGCCTTATTTCAGAGGTTTTATATTTCAGCTCCATAAAAAAACATTCAAGTCTTGATTACTTTTTTCAGCGTAACTGCATCTGCATATATATATATAAACGTGAATATTGATGCAATTTATTTTAATTGAAATCTTTGGCAAATATACCTTAGAGTGACTAACCCATTTTAATTTTGTGGTTGTGTTTTGTATTTACAATAATAATTGATGTATTTTGTATCTGGCCAGGTTTTCAGTAGTTTAAGCATCCACATTTACATTTGAGGTGGAAAAATAATTACACGAATACAAAAACTAATGCAATCATTACAATAACGTTGTTTTCATGATACTTATGAACCATTTGTTCATTTTCTATTGGTTGACTTGAATATTTATTTTGTCATCGTACGGCCGCTGTGTTGCTCTCTGCTCTGTGTTGGTCAGAGGCTGTGCTTCCACTCAGAAAACACTGACTGGTGAGCTCACTCTTTACAGATGTGATCATAACAAATATAAATAAATCTAATATGACGCAGCCGTCGGCGCTGACCTTGCCGCAGTGCGCGCGCCACTGCGCCTCCACGCGGCGTCGCGAGCTGTTTGACGGTTTCCAGGACAACCGAGGGAAGCGTCTGTCAATCAGTGCTCAGGACAGCAGCTGATCCGAAGACTCGAGTCTCCTGGTTTGTTTCCTCAGAGTAAGTTTGATAAGTTTGATCCAGCGCAGCGATGGAGGACAGATTCAGAATGTATATGTGATATAAATGTTTGTGTCTGATATAAATCAGCTCTATAAGTGAGTGAAGCTGTAGTTTAACACAGAAAAGAATCTAAGTTCAGGTTAACATTGTCCTGGGTGAGGCCACATGCTCGTGTTAACCTAACAGTGTGTTCAGTTTTAAAATGCACTGATCAGAGAGTTAATTATGTAATGTAAACAATCTTCTGAGTGATGTGAGGAAAACATGTGTAAAATGCTTTTCACTGCAGAGGAGAGATCCGTCATTGACCTGCACGTCTCCTGCACTTGATGTTCATCTCGGTGGAAGAGGGACAGACAAGGGGACACAGGAATTTATGGTGCTCTCAGTGAAAAGAAGTCAGTTTGCTAACAAGCGAAATGGTCCTGGTTTCCTGGACAACTGAGCAACATAAACCCCCCACTGACTCTGACCGCCCAGTCAGCCGTCACCACTGGTGGATACTGGTCGTTCTGTCTGTGACTGATAAACGTCTGCACATTTGTCCTCATGCAGCATGACGGACCAACACCATGACGGAGCAGAGGCGGATGCAGAGGACACTGATGAGCTTCTCTACACTGGTCTGATCTTTTATCAGCCGCACATTGTTGTAACATCTACTTCACACTCATGGGAGTTTAACCCTGTTGTCTGACCCCACAGATCTGAATGTCAGCAGCAGTGTGTTGGACCTGGAGCCTCAGCCTCTCAGGCTGGACCACTGTGACCTCCTCCTGGATGCCATCGATGCTCAGCTCGGTCAACTGCAGGTTTGTGACTGTCACACTCTGCTTCTCTGCATGTGAGGTCAGAAATACAGTTTTTGAGCAATAATGTGATTACCTCCATTTCCAGGTCCAGCCCCACAAACATCAGGGAATTTTCAGAAAGCATGACTGCAGCGATGCCGGTAATTTACATCATAGCAAACACTTAATATGATTTTTTTTTAATCTTCGTAATAATCTGTGTTTTTTTTCTAGCTCCTCTTCAGTGGAGTCGATCTCTGAGCAAAGACACAGGCCTTGGAAGTACAACTCAGACAAATGACACACCCATGTCTTGTCTTGATTTAGTACAAACTCCGACGATGAAGCAAAAATTTGGTAATATTTCAATATTGTTGCAAGAAAAAAATAATATTTCTAATAGTTTAGGGCCACAAAACAAAAATGTAAAATGAATGAGATGTATACATGCTAGAGTAGTAAGCTAGAAGTCATAATTGGGTTATATATGTTTATATCAAAGTGTTCTCTCCTATACAAGAAAACAACACATCTTTCCACTCCTGTAACCCAGAGAGGAACACAGGCTGCAGGGGAGGTGCTGACACTCATGAGGACACTAAGAAGAGGTTTGACAGAAGATCAAGAAACAAAGAGGAAATGGAGTCTCGGAGAGAGGAGGTCATCTGGAGACTCGAGAGGCTGCTTGGGGACACTTGTGAGGAGGACACAATGCCAGGAGAAGCACACCCTCTTTCAGACAGTGTCTGCACTGAGGACTTTGTCAGGCGCTTCGATGAAGAAATGGTGGAAGTGGCATTACCAGAGAGTCATTTTCAACAGCAAGACAAAAGAGAAGAGGCTGAGAGGACAGAGACCTCTGACAGTGACACTCGCCAGAGTGAACAAAAAGGACAAAGTGTTCTTCATTTCAAAAGACGAGGATCAGTAACACTGGGGAAAAGTAGTAAAGATGCAGTGACTGCTCACTATTCCCTGTCAAACTACCCAGCTCCACGGAAGGAAGTGGACAAGTGTCTTTCAAATAACTTTGGAGTGAATACATCACATAGTGAGAAGGCACCACAGAGGCTCGGTGACGATTGCAGCCGTAAGTAAAACCTTACATCTCTTAGGAAGACAAAAGAAGAGTTCCAATTTTAGATGTTTTTTAGGATTAAGAGAAAAGTGATCCATCTGTCTACTGGTACACCCATCCATCTGTCTGTATCTGTGGGTCCAACATTTTGATCCAGAGCAGGTGAACTCAACAATTACTTGACAGGCTTCCATTAAACATGTAATAATGCTCCAGGGATGATTCTCACTGACTTTATCGAATTGTCTTTAAAACAAATTTTATGGCGAAATGTCACCAACATTGACCAGGCATCTAAAAAAGAGGTCTTCATTGTAACTAGAACATTAAATCTAATGCAAACAAAACTGCTCCCATGAAAAAGACTTGAGCTTTTCTCCCTTGATTGGAGATTTCGTCAAGACTCACAAAAGCTAAAAGGTGTAATTATTCCTCCAAAGAGGTTATGTTTTCTCCGCTGTCCGTTTGTTGTTATGTTTGTTTGTCGAAACTTATTCAAAGTATGTGCAATGGGTCAGAACAGAATACATTAAATTTCGGTGCTAATCTGAAACAGAGGGAGGATCCTTTAATGTTTTTCTCTTTCTCAAACATTGCTGGATGGAGCCATCTCCAACATTTCACAGTTTTTCAAGGCAATAATTCATGGATGTGAATGAAAAAGTAAATCAGGAGAATTTTAGAACTTGATGAATTCAAGGGGACCGTTTGTTCCAGCACATTTGTAACGCTGCCTCTGGGCTCTGTTAACCTGCCTCTTGACTTTTGCTCATGATAAGATCACAACCCAGTTTCACATTTTGATTCTCTCACTTCCCTCTCAGTCTCACACAGAGCAGTGGTTGTAACAGAACATGAGAGCAAACAACACAACAGATGCTGTTCTCCTGAGGCCAGGTGCCTGGCAGGTACCACACACAGATTACACTGCATCCGCTGCACAGTCCAACTGATCCTCTTGTACATCTGCTCACAGCCACAGTGACTGGAGGTTGCATGTTTTTTACAGGAGTACCTGTGAGGAGTTTTGACTCTGTGTCCATTGCAAGTGACCTGGACTCAGTCGGCACAGAGCAAGTCAGACAGCACATTCACACACGGCCGGGTAAGAGAGTGCAGAACATGTCAAGCTAACAATGACGTGTAGAAAATATTTAGAACATGAGAGAAAAAGATGTGTATTCTATTCTAGTTAACATTGTTAGCGTCCCCCCCCAGGATGGCGCTCTCTCCTTCAGTCAGTCACGGGCGTGGATGATTACTTAACTAACCAGACTGACGATGACACACCCACACAGGAAGAAAGTGAGCCTCAGTCTACATCAGGTAAAGCAAGATTTTCCTGTTTATTCTTTTATTCACAGAGGCCATGGAGACATACGCAGAACATTGTTTTTTGTGTTTGCAAAGTCAACAGATCCTCTTTTGGCAATTGCCAAAAAAGAAAACTTCGGAAAACTCAGCATAAAAAGAGAGAAAGTTGCAGGTAAAGCAAAGAGGGCAACATTTTAAAAATGTGTCTTCTCTGCAGTCTTTTAATTAAAAGAATTAAATCATCTGAATGTACCGTTGGTTGCAAAAATCTGAGACCACCCCTCAGCCTTTTGAGCCCCACAGTATTTCAGTCTCTGAGTATTTTTACATCTCCCAGACTCAAGTTCTCTTTGGGACACAACGACAAAGACACAGATGAGGACATTTCTGACAGGACATCAGAGAAAATACAGTGGACCAAAATGAAAGAGCAGCTCACTAATCTCTGTCAAGTAAGAATGAATCTCACAGAATATTTCCTTATAATATTTATTCAAAAAATGATTTTCTATATTTCCTAAATTCTTCCACGAACACGTGCATGAGAGTTCTCATCATGTTTGTGTGTGTGTGGTTTAGAAATGTGAGAACGAGGAGGGGACACTCAGGTTGAAGAGGACTCAGTTAAAAGACGTTGAGCTCTGCCTTTCTGAACTTCGGCAGAGAAGAAAGGTAACATGCAGCATCTTCAACAAGAATCTCTGCATAGAAGTCTCACTAATAAAAACACACTCAAAGGCTATGTTTTTTCCCCAGCATGCCTTGCAGGAATTAGAGCGAGTGACTGCACAGAGAGCACAGATGGAGAAGGAGAAGAAGACTATGGAGTCCAGTCTGAGAGACAGCAGGGTAGAGAGAGACTCTCTCAGGTATCCCAATACTTTATCCTTCTAATCTGAACAAACAGAGGTAGTGTGCACCAACAGGATTCTTAGTTCTGTCAAAGAGTAACACAACATGTGAATGTGTTGTAGCTGCCAAGTGGAAAGGTTGCAGAGACAAAGAGATTCTTGTCTCCATGAGATCAGAGACATGGAGGAAGAACTTGAAACTCTGAGTCAACGTCAGAAGACCCTAAAGGATGGATCCTGCTCGAAGGTGATGAAACCTGACTAAACCAATGTCTCAACTGGTTCTTTGTTTTAAAATGTCAGATTTATTGTCGATAAACAGCCTCTGGGTGCTCCACTGTTCCTCAAACAGAACAATGTCATCATGTCAGTGCTGGAGAGGGAGGAGATGGAGAGACAGCTGGACAGTGCCAAAACTGAACTGTTTGCTGAGCAGAGACGTGCACGAGAGAAGCTAGAGTCCATGCAAGAGGTGCAGTATCAAGGCCCAGTCACACAATTTTAACTCTAACCTTAAACCATAACTAGTTTAATATTATTGCTTATAAAGTATATGACATCATCAAAATGTAATAATACATCCAAATGTCATGCTATAACATTTTGGTTTGATGTAAGTAAAAGTTAGAAACAATTAGAAGTAATGATAGAAATAACAGTAATGGCTTTCCTTGCAGTAGCGATAATAAACTCACACTTATTTATCAAAGACTTTTCTCAGAAGGTGAAATTCAACTTCACATTCATGCAGCATCAGAACAAATATACAATTGTTGTAGTCTTTCTAGGTCACATATTGTGGCTTCAGTACAAATAACTATGTTGTGAATATGTCATCTTAGTTATGAAAGTTTACTGGGATCATTTATTTGTTTTTTGTGTAAAAAGCAGGTTTTGTTTCTGTGTTTTAAAATATCTTTTGCGTTCATGTATGATATTGGAGCAGAATTTGGAGCAGACTCGTGAGGAACTCCAGAGGGCCACAGAGGCAGAGAGCTCACTGAGGAACAGATGTGTTTGTCTGGAGCAGAAACAGATCCAGAAAAAGGAGCAGATTGAGGTGACACCTTCTGTCATCACTCTAAAAATAAAATAAATATTTTATTTGTCAAGCACAAGACAACTTGTTGGCCTCTCCTGCCCTGTATGTCGTATTCTCCTCTATAACTCTCCTTAATAGATATTTCAGTATTTCAGTGCCAGCCATTTTAACATAGAATAGTAGGTAAACACCAATGTTACCTGAACAGATCCTACATTAACACCATTAGTGATCGTTGTTTCTCTCATTTTTAGGCACTTGAGGTTCAAGTAAGCGAGCTGCAGGTTGAACTGGGAGAATGTAAGATCAGGGTGGGTACTCTGGAGAAGATGTTGGCCCAGAAGGAGCTGCAGCTGCTGGATTTCCAGGAACAACAAGGGGCCTTACAAGCAGAGAGAGACGGACTGAAGGGGGAGCTACAACACCTGAAAAGCCAGCACTACAAAGCAGTGAAGGAAGCCCAGGAACAAACCTACAGATTGATGGTAGGTGCTGAGGCTTTCTGAGGTTTGATTCATTCCACAAGTCATTTTCCTAACATATAATTTCCAATATATCATCTTCAACAGAACAATGAGTTGATTCTGGCTCATAAGCAGCAAATCCAAAAGGTGATAAATGAGTCTGAAAAGTTCAAATACTGATTCATTTAATTCCTCCTCAGGTTAAACAGCAGGCTGAGGAGGAGAAAGCCAGTGCTTTGAAAGAACACACACTGGTTCTCACGCGATGCATTGATGCAATGCAAAGTTCCATTCAGGTCAGTCTTTTATTGGGAACATAAAATTTACTACAGCACTTCAGCTACAGTACCTTACTCTGTCATGAATCTATATATTTGAAATCCTCCACTGGATTTTAAACCAAATGTTTCTGTGTTGTTTTCACTATTGTTATACTCTAAATACAGCGTGAGTAAAAACACTACACATGGTTACTTTTAAAGTCCTCCTCTGTTCTGGTAGCTAAAAGAAGAAGAGGCAAAGAATCTAAGGATCTCTCTGGAGCAGCAGAGGGAGGCGGCAAAGAACCGCAAAGAGGAGCTGCTTAAAGACACCTCTGAAAAGGTATTCTGAAAATCCCTGTGCCTAAAATATGCAATCATTTTCAGTACAATTTCATGATATGCACAGTATGCTCTCATTTAGGTGAACAAGGCAATAGAGGAGAAGAGGAGGAAGTGGGAGGAAGAAAAAGTGGAAGCTGTGAAGGTGCACTGTGGGATTCTGGAAGAGCAGAACAAAAAGAGCCAGGAAAGCATGAGGAGTGAGACGCAGCGAGAGAAGAGTAGAGCACAAGCTCTTCAACATAAAGTGTTGGAACTAAAAACAGTAAGTTGATTCATTATACATTATCACTTTAAAGAAATCAGAATACATTTTCTATTTATTCTATGTCTATTTGCATGATTTTCAGAGGATGCAGGAGTTGGAGAGTGAAAGCTGTGCACAGCAGAGAGAGCAGGAGTGTTTGCTGGCTGTTATTTGTAAATCACTGAAAGAGGAGCACCAGGCTGAGCTGCAGAGGTTGAAGAAACAGATGGCACAGGTGAAGGAAACCTCAAAAATGAATCATCTGTAGACAAATAAAAGGAGACACTATCATAAAAAAGTTATCATGGTGTGGTCTGTGGTCACAGGAGAACCAGAGGACGGTGCTGCAGCTTGAGAAGGCTTCTCAGCTGGCAAAGAAAGAGGCTGACAGGCTCCAGGTGACGCTGGAAGAAAGGGAACGATGTTACAACAGAATCACTGCTGAGCTGGACCAGCAGCAGAGACGCTGGGCCCAGGAGCTGGGAGCAGAGTGCCAGCATGTGCAACTCTTAGTGGAACAGAGTGGAGCCAGACAAAGAGCTGTGCAGCTGCCTGCCAGGTATAATGTCCTGCTCTGGCTTACATCTCTATCTGGTTTAGACAGAAGTGGATACTTTGTAGACAACATGCTGCAATTAGCTTCTACTGAGGCCTTTTTATTGTGCAGTCCGACAGTAGCTGAGGCTCTTACAACCCTGAGAGCACTGAGAGAGCAGCTGGAGCAGTGGATTATCCATCTACACCAGGAGCTGGGTTCACAGAAGCAAACTACTGAGCAGCTGAGAAAAGACAAGGTTCAGTGTCGGCTTTACAACCTGCAAAGTGCCCTGTGTTTGCAAATACAGCTTATTAAATATTTATTTGTTTTCAGGAGAGAGAATTGAGCGCCCAGAGGCAGCAGCTTAGGGTGGAGAGAGATAGAGCCTTAGACTCTGTGAAGGAGCGTCTCATTCAGGTATCAACTTACACACTATTTTATGTTTGGTGAAAAAAACAGTTCAAGCATTACAGCAAAGTTGTGCCACATGACATTTGTGCAGGAGCACATTGAGGAGTTGAGCGGCTTGAACAGGGCTCAGCTGACTGACGGAGGGGCTGAAGGAGGAGCAGCCGTATCTCTGCGCAAGCAGTTGAAGGCCAAAGACGTGGAGCTCAGGCAGGTTCAGAGGAGCATGGCTCAGTGGAAGCAACAGACTGCAGCTCGTCTGGCATGCAAATTTGAAGAAGAGCTGACCGCTGAACTGGAAAGGTAACAAGCAAAAAATGAAAACAACATCCTACTAGGTCAAAATACAGCCACATCATGTTCGACCTTTTAAAGTTTGAGGCAATCAATTTCTCTTCATTTTGACATTCAGAATTCTATTGGTCCACACAATAGAAATCAAACAGTGCTCTACTTTTTGCCGTCCCACAGGTGCAAGGCAAAGTTGTTAAGAGGAAGGTAACTGGTTCTGTGAATCATGGATGGCATACTAACCAGCTCTCTGTCCATTCAAGAGCATGATCTCACCTCCACTCACTGTGATGTGTTATTTAGAGCAGAGATTTAACAGTAACTAAACCTAAACCCAACCCATCTCATGCTACAATTCCTCACCTGTGAGTTCAGCACCTTTCAAATGTAGGTTTGTGTGTTTTACAGAAAAACATCAATGACTCGAGGGGAGGGACAGAGAACGTCAGAGAGGCCTGAAGAAGGGAAGACTCTTAGTGTAAAGGTAAATCTTTGACTGTTCCCATGTGAGCATTAGTGTAACTACTATCTTACACTGTAGGTACTTGCTGTTCTAATCTTATATCTCTGCCAGTGTCTCCCCCCCCATCAGGATGCCCAAACTTTAGTTTGCTCTCCCTCCCTCCATGTGGTGGACTCTGCAGCCTCCCACAGCCCCTCAGACGTGGCTTCATTTAAGCTCCTGCGTTACCTCCAGAGCAGAGTGAAGCAGCTCCGTCTAGAAAACCAGGCCTACACCTGGATCTCCTCTCCTCACTCAGCTTCGTTAGATATGTCAGAATCCTCTCTAAGAGCAGTGAGTACATTCTTCTACTGGTAGAGTACCATTGATTCTTGAAGTTACCATTAGTACCGGTGAATGACCTTAAGGCTCGGTGAACTTCTGTTCAGATTTGTAATCATCTAAGATGTGTCGAGCAGTTGCAATAATAATCATCTTTATTTGTAGAGCACTTTTCAGAGCTCAAGTTACAAGTGGCGTCACACAGTGCAGCAAATTAAAACCAACGTCACAAGATTAAAGATAAGACCAGAAAAGTGCATAACTCTGCCAAGGTCCAACCCTTACATTCAATCAAGCTGCACCAAATTCACACACTCAAAGAGATCACCCCCCTAAACATGCCTGATTTTTTTCATCAATATCCATGAATTATTCCCTGGGGAAATGATCTGGATCTGCACCAGAATTGTTTTACAAGTTTCGAGAAGTGCTGTTCCTCTTTCAAAGCAGTTGGAACGCTCTAGGATATAAAACTGTTCAAGGCGAGGGAAATACCACATACCACATCAGCATTTCATTATTATTTCTGTGCTTGACTGAACAATATCAGGTAATATTGGTGTATCCTTCACAGATCGCTCATGGACAAGACAGTGCGGGAATTCTGACCCAGGCAGCAATCAGGACAGTCCCAAGTTGAGGAAATGCTTTACAGAATGTGCCAATTATTATTAAAGTCTGATTCTTGAGAATTTCAAGTTGTTGCAGACCACAGCGATGAATCATTTACTGTCACATGTGCTTAAGATTGCAGATTAACAAGCAGGTCACAGTGACATCAATGACCCAACTGACGAGTCATGAAGTTCAACTCCCTCTTTGTTCAGAAAGTCACATTTTATGGTTTACAGTTACAGATAACTGTGAATGAGTGATGACCTGACATTTTACTACAGACCTGAAGATCATGTGAGTTAAGTCAAATAATCTCATATAGCTGACAGGTCTTTCTCTAGGAATCCCTTGTGTAATCATAAATGTTGTGTGAATTTTAATTGTACAATAAAATTCAGTAGGTTTCTAGTTCGAAAAATTGTCTGTAGCATCTAGTATGCCTAATTCACTTGAAAATGTTAAATCTTGATTTAAACTTTTAAACTGTAAAAGATTTAAAAGCCATGACATTCGCTATGAAACGTGCAGTATTTAATTTTCCATTTGTTACACTTATTGAATTGTTTTCAATGTCTTGATTGATCATTTGTGGCGGGTCAATCCTGTGACCGTTACCTATCCTAATATACTGTATTTAACAAGGAAAAAATAAATCACAATACCTTTCCAACTTTCACTAAATTAAAACTAAATTTCTTCCAATAAAAAACAATACATAATACAATTTAAGTTTGTTTAATATAAAGAAATATAAAGTGAAATACTTAATGGCTGGCTGCAATTCTGGTAACGTGTATTGGAAAATACAATCGAATCATAAAAAGGTGCATTTCCACAACTTCTTTACAAAACTCTGAAGGCTCACAGATAGCGTACTCGCTAAACACTGTAGGAAGATCATCTTTCTACCACAAGTACAACTGCAAGCCATGCAGTGAGCTCACAAGAACCCAGTGTCTCGTTAATAAAGCCCACGAGCTGGATGTAAAACTGTACAAATTCAGGTGCTGCACACTGATGTGTCACAAAGAACAGACTCATAGTCACAACACATCAGTGAACAATGGCCAAGTCTCGGCAACATTCTATACAAATGATCCTATTTGTAAGGGCAAAGGTCAATTCTCTCAGTAAGAGAAACTGATCATGTAAGGCTGTCAATGGAATTTCCAGCCTTGAAGTCATGACAGTTACTGTGGAGATAGAAATGAATCAAACTAATTCATTAGGTAAGTGATAGTCTTACATGTTACATATAGTTGGCTGGGATTATAGTCAGAAAACTGAAAATGAGTCAGGAAACTGAAAATGAAAATACTGTACGTGTTGCACAAACTGTCCAAAACCGCACAATATTCATGCAAAGCCCAACATACTTTGCCAAAGTGACAAATTTAAGGTGGTTCTGAGTCCGTTATCACCTTTGTGTTACTACAAGTCCACTCTTTTACTTTGGTGTGGCTTTTAAAGTCATTAAAGACAAAAATTACATTTCCATGTCCTCCTCTCCAGAGCTGTGGGCCACAGGAAAGCTGTACATAACAGAGTGTGAGTCTGCAGGTGCACTGGGGGGGCTCAGAGGACTGTGAGGCACAGGAGATGGACACGGAGTTGGGGGTTGCCGTGATGCTGTCTGTTGTTTGCGCTGTTTTTGTAAAGAGCCCTTTAGCCTCCGACAAAAGGGGTCGTCAGGTGGCCGCCACAGCACCAGCTCCATGCAGGAATGGCTCCTAAAAGTATGAGGAGTTGCCGGTGAGACAAATATAACCAAGAAAGAAATTCCTGAAGAATTTTGATTCCACTTGAAGTTAATTCTTTCAGTTTTACATTTTCAAGGTACAAAATAAGAACATACACAGACTGGGCTACTTTGTGGGGGAGGATGTTGCTGATGCCACGCTGCAGGTCCTCTTTCAAACTGTCTGAAATCACCAGCACTGGTCGTCTTGGGGCTGGCTCTACGTCCAGGTCCTCGTCATCGTCTTCCAGCGTTATTCTGTGACACATCAACATCACAGTATTCACTCAAAGTTAAAGAGGGGACAGAATGTGTTGATGTCAGCTTTCGACGTGATACCTGAGAGGAAAATCCGACTCACTGTGGCTGAGAATAGAATAGACGTCTATATTGTGACTGCACAGCTGTACAACAAAATTTAGCAGGTAAATGGGATGAGCTGTAACACTAGAAAGGAAGCCAGCAGATGTCTTGACAATATATTATACCAGGTCTTTAAACTATATATCGAACAATGTGTCATGGCCAACACACACTGTGGATGAAAGGTAGGTGATATGGACTGGATTTACTTGTGATTAAAGTTAAGAATTCCTAATCATAAATGATCAAGTTCTTAGTGTGTAGAATTTGTGATATCTAGTGTTGGAATCACATGTTGCAGCTGAACACCCCTCACCTCACCCTCTCCTTCCAAACATGAAAAAGAACCTGTGGTAGCTTCAGTTGTCATTAAACTCAAAAGGTGTTTAGTTTGTCCAGTCTGGACTAATGTAAAAAACATGGCGGCCTCCGCAGAGAGGACCCCCTCGATGTAAATATAAATTATTTAAATATAAAGGGTCTTTTCTGGGGTAAAGAAAACTACAATTCACACAATTAGATGAAACGAACTAGTGAAAACATTCTGAAGATTATTCTATATTAAATTCCTGTCAATAGTTCACCTAAATCTTACACACTGGACCTTTAAAACTAAATCCTACAATTAAACCATGCTTTAAAATATTTCAGATGGATGTAAAAGACAGCCCTTACTTATTCCAGCAGCATGTTATATGTCTTTCACTCCATGTAAGCAAAGTAATACTGATTCTGTTTGCTGGCTGGGTGAGTGACTTTAGCGAGCACGTACAATGATGCTACTGGTGCTGCTGGAATTACTGGGACAAGTAACATCAACATCTTCATATATATTATACCCATAAACTGCAGGGTAGGTGGAATTGGCATGTTTCTTAATGAGGTTTCCATCCAAAGTCTAATCCTGGGAGGCCTTTGTACACATTAACAACTTCTGAAGAAAGCATGACCTGGAATTTCCACAGGTATATTAGGAGGCCGTTTCATTTTCACACACCTTCCAAACAGCCTACCTGTCTTCGATCTCCTGAAGTTTCCTCTGAGCGGCCTCTACCTCCATGCAGGAACTCTCCGTCTCCGCTCGGGACAGGGCAGAGGATGGATGCGAAGGCGAGGTCAGCGGCTCAGGCTCCGGGCAGGGCTGTGGAAGTGCTTCCTCTGCAGACAGGGCAGGGCAGCTGTTTGCTGTGGGCCAGCCACAGCGAGTGCTCGTGTTTGAATCCTCTACATTATCCACTTCGGCCGGCACCATTAGCCTTCTCCTTTTGGCACTGCATCCCCTGAAAAAAACCAACAACCCCTAATTTAGCGAGTAATCCAGGCAGTGTCCTCATACTGTACTCGAACTGTGCCGCTCTCTCACTTACTCATCATCAACTCTCCTCCTGTGCTTTCTGAGGCAGCGTGTCTCCCAGCTGCTGTGAGACAGATGTGTCACAACAGAAAACACGTGTCAGGCTAAATACAATTAAAGGTGTTAGCAAACCACAACCATCAGCTCCTTACTTGTTAGAGACTGGAGCTCTCTGTAGGTGACCAGACGTACTTGGAGGTCCGAGGTCAAACTCAGGGGGGCTGGTGGGGCCTGAAAATGAATACATGGCCGGCAGAAACCCCGGTTCACTGCTGGAGGGGGCAGAGTGATGCATGATGGTCATTTTAATTGAAACACTGGAAGACGACTACAAATACAGGATCGATAGAAATCAGCTACATGACGCCACAGTTATACGTCTGTTTACACTGGGCTAACTAGCTGGTTGTTTAGCTAGCTGCAACGCACAACACGTAAATGTGATAAAACTACAAATATAACGTAACACGACTAATACACAATGGCAGCGTCGTGTCTGTGGTGGATAACGTGAGTGAACTTAGAAAGTTAGTGTTACAGACCGACCTGTGCAGCTGTCCCGCCCCTCTGTGTCTGTTGTTATGGATGCGTGGCTAGCTTCACTCCGCTCGCTTCACATTGGTTTCCATTGAGCTGTTAGCATTAGCACACAGCAGCATTGACACCATGACACCTCCCGCAAACACAAACATCCCTCACAGCTGCTGGGGCCACCGGTGCGAGAGGAGAGCCGGGTGAAGATGACGTTAGCGAGCTATTCTGGAAAGAAGGACTCGCACCAGAAGATACGCGAAAATTCTAACAAAGGAATCTTGGGAGTTGTAGTTCCTGTACGTGAACGTCTCGTTTTGTCAAATATCGTTCAGGTTAAAATGCTTCAAATTTTCAGATAATTCACCCACGTGTCCGAGATGTAAAATCACAGAGGGAACATTTATGCAACCTGTTGAAATGTTTTTACGGACAGACAGACAGACAGACAGATAATTTAGGAGTTCCATTCATTCTTAAACCAAATCTGTTTTGGAGGTAGAATTTGACTTAAATCCTTCTTCATATTTAAAACAAAATGCAGATTGTTGATGATAACGATGGAAGAAATGCAAACTTCTACTATTGAAAAATGAATCTCCTCCAACTTTTAAGATGTTTTTGGATTATACAACAGACTTTTTGCCATTTGAGAGATAAGATCAACTCTGAAGAAATACGACCATGGATAAATCTTTCAAGACCTTTATCACCATTATTATCTTACCTGGACAACTTTTCTATGAGTTGATGAATAATGGACATGGGCAATTTTTAACCCTGACAGGTACACCTGGGCATTGTTCACCAAAAATCAAAGATTAATTATTGCAATTTGCAGTTATTTATATTTGTCGCTTATTTGTATTATCAAACTTTCTTTCTTTCTTTGGGTTGTGTACCTGGGTGTTAACAGGTTTATGGAGGGGATATGAATAACTCAGTGTACATGTAAGATTGTAACCTGTTCATCTATTGATCCTGGCAATTGTCAACTTTTGGAAATAATAAAAGGAAAAAAAGAGAGAAAAAAGTTTCTGCGCATGTGTTCTCAGTTTAAAACTATCAACACTAAAAGTGTTCAAACAAGATAGACCCCTGCCTTCTTCTTACCAAAGACTACAAACTGTCAACAAGATGGTTCTCTCCCACTTCCTGTTCCTGGTCTGAGCCACAGCTGGTTTAAAGGCTCCCGTAGCTGGTTTTCTCCTTCGCTTTATAATATCATGTGACGAGTCATGTGAGAAACTGGAAGCTGTAGTTTCCTCACTCAGCTCTGATTCCTCACACCGGAGTTTCTCCCTGAGGAGGTAAGTAGCTGCCCTTTACTGAAGAATTCAACACGTATACGAGCTAAATCCCTGAAATGCTACATTATTAGCAATTATAATGTAATACAGATCCAGTAATAGGTACATAACACGGGTGAATTGATTGTTATGTGTCTAATCCAAATGTAATTTTAGTATTATTTTCACATTTACAGTTTGATATCTGTGTTTCTTTCTCAAATTCATGAAAACTCCAATATTGTTTTTAATCTCTTCATTTCATAGTCTATGCCTGTTGTTGCTTTATTTCTTTACTCAAACACATTGATTTATTTTTGTTTGTGTTATCCAGCAGGTTATCCACGATGCTGTCATGGGTCATTACAATATGCCTGCTGGCCTCTGCCTCCAGCAGACCATGCGGTACGTAACATATTTAAATAAATACAGCTATCACCAGTCATTTAAAAAAACTCACTGTCCTTGCACAATCTTTGTCAACACTGGGAAAACCAGAAGTGGTTTTGCAAGAATCCAAAAGTTCATGTTAAAGTCAGGTTGAAGAGAGAGTCACTTTCACGCTTGTTATCGCAATGAAAAACATTTATTTTCTTTAATTTTGAAATATCTTAATCCAGACAATGAGGGATCCAACAGCGAGCTGCTCCTGTCACTCAACAAGGATTTGCTCCGCTCTCTGGAGAGGCAGGAAGGACCCCCTAATCCCAGTGTGCACCTGGCTCTTCGTATTTCTAGCTACCACAACCTTGCCAAGGAGAGCGGCCACTTAATTAGACTGACATCCCATTTGCACAGTGACATACAAAAGTAATTCAACATTTCCAAATTCTTCAATTATTCATTCAGTTATTTCATATATTCTTCTCTTGATGTCATCGCCTGATTCTTCACCTCCTGTGCCGTCCTCAGCTCTCTCTCTAGCAGTCAGTCTGTGACCGGCCTCTTGGCGCTGTACACTCTGGCTTTAAAAGCCTCCTGCTTCGACCTCAACACAGTTACCTTTACCGTCGGTGACACAAGTCACACGCTGCTGACACACCTGAAGAAGCAAATGGAAAAAGAAAAAGAGCAACTTGCCTGTGAGTTTCCTTTGATTTTTTGAAGGCTAACAATTTTCGTAGAAAGTTCTTACTACACTGTTTTACACTGGGCCACACAACCACCTGTAAGATATATAAGAAAAATCCAGCAGAAAATATCAGAAAAAATCTGAAATTTCCACAAACAGAAAAAATCCACTCAGGATTTATTGTCATGTAGGCTATTCAATAATGGCTGTAATTTATCTTGTTTGCTGTAATGGCTCATGTCTCAACTTAATACATTTTTGATCCAGTTGTGGTTGAAATCATCGGAGCAATTTTAAGAAACTATTGACAAATTCTAATTAGTGTGAAATAAAAAAAATGTAGCGGCTCTGGAGAAAATAAAGGATCTAAATGTGGGGAGTCATGAATATAATTTGTTTTCTTTTATTTGTTCTCTCCTTTACACAGACAGCCACCGTCCTTTGACCAACTATTACCAGTACTCTCTGGGTGTGCTCGCTCTGTGCACGAGTGGCATCAGGGTCAACAACCATGTCAGCAACAAACTAATCAAGGCGGTGGAACACCAGCACTTAACACATGGAGACACTGAGAGCATCGGTGAGTGAAACCAGCCTAAATTTTAGATGTTGTATCAATTCATTGATATATTTTTTTATGTATATGGTGTAACCTAACACTCACAACTGTTTAGAATTAGTTTGAGATACTATATTTAAAGTCATATATTAGATGGATAAATTCCATGAAGTTGTGTAAGATTATTTTTTTCTGTTGGGTCGTCACACAGAAATTTGCCAGAGTGAACGGTTAGTGTTCAGTTCTGTGAAATGTTACTAAATGTTTTATGAAAGGAATCTAGTAACCTTACCTGGTAACAGCTCAGTTTTTTATGCTTTAACTCTTCCTATGTCGGCCATCTTCATGTTTTATGTGACTCTCTATTTCTAGATACCTATGCCATGGCTGGGATGGCACTTCAGTGTGTGAAAGACACTGGCATCCATGTGCAGAATGCTGCTGAGCTCGACACAGCCCTCAGCAAGATCAAGCAGAAGCTTTTGGCCTCTCGCCGGACCGATGGCCATATTGGCAATGAGTTCAGCACAGGTCTTGCTGTCCAAGTAAGAGTCCTTTCCTGTATTATTTATTCAACTCTTTAACAGTATGAAATCTTGCAGAAGAACTCTTTGCAGCTTAAATCTACATATTCAATGTGTTCCAGGCCTTGTTGGCAATGGGCAGCCCAGTTGGAGAGTGTGCTGCCTCAATGGTAGCCATGAGGACAGATGCCAGAAGAAACATCTACCACAACCCCATGGCTATATCTCAGATCCTGCCTGCTCTCCAGCAGAAATCCTACCTGACAGTAAAAAGCATGCAGTGTCTCAATGAGGATGGTATGTGCAGCGTTTCCACCCTGTGTGGTCACTGTTGTGTACCATGATGGTTTTTGTAATGGCCTGTGCCCTCCCGCAGACACTTTGGTGCTGGAGCCCATAGACCCTGTGACGGTTTTACCAAGTGAGGTCCACGTGACTGTGATGGTGGAAGTGGTGACATCCAGTGGGGAAGCGGCTATTTACCATGTCAATGTGCCGACGGGCAGTTCTTTGTTGGAGGCCCTGGAACTTCTCAAAGGGGAAAACGTTCGCTTCACGTGAGTTCATTAAATGTAACTATGGATTTCAGATTTTTTTATATATGATTGTCTATATCAAGGATTTTCTGATGCTGTTGGCAGGTTTGAGATGGAGTCCAGCTTATGGGGACCTTTCTTAAGTGTGGTGAACGGAGAGCAGGCCAGACAGATTGACCGCAGATATTGGCACCTTTCCTCTGATGGCACTGCAATCAATCAGGGTAAGGGTACTGTCACACACACACACACACACACACACACACACACCCCTAACCCTAACCCTAACCCCTAACCCTAACCCCTAACCCTAACCCTATTCATTTGATCTGATGCTTTAATTTTACGTTGAT